TATTGTGTAATTCTCAAAAATTGCATAATTTTGAATTCCCTGCGTATTTTAACTTTTTTTTTTCATTTTTACACAAAACAATTACTTAACGCCTAGCCATATGACTATCCTCCTCATCATCATTGCCTTTCTCACCCTGGAGCAGGATATAGGCCACGAACAAACACTCTCCACCTTTCCCTATCCTGGGCTAGTCGCTTGATGTCACTCCACGTCTTCCCACTTTTCTGTACATCCATTTCCGTGACTCTTCTCCAGGTTCCACAAGGTCTTCCCCTTGATCTTTTACCCTGTGGGTTCCAATCTAACACTTTTCTTGTCATGCAGCTGCTTGACTTTCAGAGAGTGTATCCAATCCATCGCCAACGTCTTCTTCCCACCTCATCTCTGACCGGGCTCTGTCTGGTTCTTCTTAATACTTCCTCGTTGGTGATCCTGTCTGTCAATTTGATCCTCAGCAGCCTCCTCAGACACTTGTTCAAGAAAACCTGGATCCTTTTTATGCACATATGGGATGCGTTCCATGTCTCACATCCATACAACAAGACTGACTTCACATATAACTAAAGGGAAGTAATCACATTATGACAAGTTGAGTATTTCCCTTGTTAGAAGATTTGGGAGGGGGGGGGGGGGGGTTGGTTATGAGTCAGGGATATTTTGTTCCTTGAGCATGTTCAATTTTTCAATCCATCAAAAGTTGTTCTCATGTCTGCTGGTGTTTCATGTTTGACAGGTTTCCCTGGTTTTAGTGATGTGCCAGCATCAGAGTTTGTTTTTTCTTTGGGTTTTTTTACATTTTTCTTTCCTCTATAGATCTACAGCTGAAAGTTACAGAGATTATATTTTTGGGTTGCTTTTTTTTCTAACTGATGAGTATTGTTTTCTTTCCAAAAACACAAAAAATTACTGATACTGATATAAAGGCTAATACACAGGCCCTATTCTGTTTTCAGTTTTACTGTACATAAAACATTCACATTCTTGTTGAAAAGGTACAAAACATGTCTTGAATGGCGTTATGGTAACTTGCATAATTTTTGCATAATTTTGCATTTGTCTTGCATAATTTTTGCATAATTTTGCATTTGTCTTGCATAATTTTGCCATCTAAATTTGCATAATTTTGCCATCTAAATTTGCATAATTCTGCGGGGACAGACAATCACTTCCCACTTGCCCAGTCCCCCCTTTTTCTTGCTATGTCATTATGACACTAGATCTACTGTCCAAGGTGACCACCAGTCTAAGATGACCACTTTTCTCCTTGACCACCAGTCTAAGATGACAACTTCTCTCCTTGACAATGGGTGGTCATGTTGTCATTAATTTTAACTGGTTGGTTTTGTTTTTTTATTTAAACTTCACAATGGTTCTACGGTATCCTGAAACATGTTTGTCTTTGGTCATCTCATTTTTCCTCTGAGATTGATACTTAACTTATCACAGCACTGAAACTGACAGGTGTATGCAAAACCCTTTCGCACTAATAAGTACATAAATAATATAATAAATCACTGAGCTGACAGGCATATAAATATATCTTTTCCCACTAATAAAGTATATAATAAATCACTGAGCTGACAGGCATATAAATATATCTTTTCCCACTAATAAAGTATATAATAAATCACTAAACTGACATGTGTATAAATATCCTTTCTCACTTCTAACTACACACACATATATATATATGCGTGTTCAATGCCAAATTAAATATGAAAATATTGCAATTGACACTAACCTTGTTTTCCTTTCGGGCCCACAAATCCCACACTGCGTTAGCAATCCCGGCCACAGCCATGTGCATCACACCTTTCTCGGGTCCCAGCTGGAAGAGAGAGCCAAAGTCAGCCAACAAAAGAGGACAAGTATGAACAGTTTTTAGTTTAAGTAGAGTTTTTACGGCGCTCGCAACTGCATAAGGACATATGAGTGTCAAGGGGTGGATGTCAACAGAGAAGTCTTTACAGGGAATCAGGCTTACTCTGCTCACCTCTCTAGCTTCAACAGCACAAAGTCTGCTTCGACTATCAAGGCACCCCGGAAATAGAGAGTCAAAAGAGTGTCACAAACATACAAAAGAAATGGAGGAAAAATGACGAGAGTAAGGATTAGGAAAGAAAAAGCAGCAGTTCACTGTTGCATTTCAGGCACAGTTATGAGCATGACGTTGATAAATCAGCCCATTTACAATTCTACTGTGCATAAGAACAGGTTAATGTCCCCCCTTTAGGAAAAGCCTAAAGACACTTCGGTCAGTAGCACTGCCCAGAGGGTTGCAATTAAGAACAAAATCACAACAGACAAACTGAACATAGCGGGAGTACATGAGAATTAAAACAAACAACCATACCGATGAACTAATGTACATCTGAAATTCAAAGTAGGCTTAAACAGTGTGATCTGCTGATCATATTAAGAAATAAATCATAATGGCAATGGCAATAGCAATAACAACCTTTATTCATCTCACAGGGAGAAATTTGTCTTGGTCATTTCTGATGACAGTGGTGTTACAAAGTACATGTGGACCCATGCAAACACATAAATAGAAAGGACATAAGTACTATGCTCTGAAACAACTCTCTCTCTCTCTCTCTCTCTCTCTCTCTCTCTCTCTCTCTCTCTCTCTCTCGCTCTCTCTCTCTCTCTCTCTCTCTCTCTCTCTCTCTCTCTCTCTCTCTCTCTCTCTCTCTCTCTCTCTCTCTCTCTCTCTCTCTCTCTCTCTCTCTCTCTCTCTCTCTCTCTCCTTCACTCTGTTTCATTTACAGCACTGTATGTTCAGTAACCTCACTGCAGTTGGTATTAATGAATTCCATATCTGTCCATGGAGAATAAAAAGAACAATTTCTAAACAACAGAAAGACATGATAAAAATGGAACTATCCAGTAAGAAATCAAATAAGCAAACAAATGTATTGTACAGCTAGATAGTGACTGGTACCTTCCTTGGATACTGCAGACTTACCCATCTAATCTGATCCTCGCTTGTAAGAGATCGCCAGAAGGAAGCAAAGTCTTTCAGTATTGCATTGATGTCACGACCGACGACCAAGTGGCTGAGAAGTTCGATGGCCTTGCACACTGTTGCCGGACAGAACAAAAACCTTACTTTAAATGCTAAAGTCTTGTTTGTTTGTGGTTTCGTTTTTATAGTAGAGGGTTTTACGGCGCTCGCAACTGTATAAGGTCATACGAGCGCCAAGGGGTGGGTGTCAACAGAGAAGTCTTTACAGGGAATCAGACTTAGACTGCTCACCTCTCTAGCTTCAACAGCACAAGGTCTGCTTCGACTATCAAGGCACCCCAGAAATAGCAGGTCACAAGAGTGTAA